AGTTTCCCGGTTCCGCCAAGACCAGCTGCCTTCAAACGGCCAAGACCACAAGCAGAGGACAAAAGGAAGGTGTTCAAGGGTGGCCGAACTGGTGAAAAAACGGAAGCTTCCAGAGGAAAGCACTGAAGGGCGAGCCCGTACAAGAAGGAGGATAACCAAGCTACTATCTGCAGTATACCTTTAAAGGACTGGGCCCAGAAAAGGATGTCCGAATATTACAAAGATAAGTAAAATTTTATGTTACTTTGCAAACTTAAGTTAATCTTTCATTCTTACTGCAAGTGGCAGATTTCAAGAAGTTTTACCTCATGCGAGGTCTACCTTTATCGCCAAAAGGGCGAGAAATGAGTTGTGACCGATTTTCTTATTATGTTTTTCAATTACTCGCGCGTAAAAACTAAAGTTGATGTATAATAGCGTTGTGTAAAGACTTAAATATTGTAAAAAGTTATTGTATAAATTTTATTTAAAACATTCTAGCAAGAAAGAAGTTTTAGTCTGAAAGACTTTTTGAAATGTAGTATTATTTCAATGTAGAAAGAATTGGCACTTGCTTTGAAAAGAATAGAAGTTAACAATGTACTACTAATGTATGTTTTCAAATGTGTAAAATTAACGGCATGTTGATATGTTCTTATATACAATGTGAACTGTTATTTTAAATGTTAAGAAATACCGTGATATGGTAAAAGTGAAAGTAATGTTAAAAATTTGTTATTCGTGTGACTGTAAAGATTAAATCATGGCGAATATGTGGTAAAGGTTGAATGATGTAGTTAGGCTCTCTGACGCTACACTTTAGAGTTAGCCACTTTTAGAATAGTACCTCAGGGTTTAGAGTTGAAAGTTAGGGTGTGTTAAGAGGTCTCGTTATGTTGAATTTTAACACGTTAGTGTTTTGATTGTAGGAGGAAGTGTGGCAACACGTAGACAGAAACACATTCGTGTTTGGTGTTCTTTTACAACACATGTCAGAGAGCACGGGGAGAGATAATTAAAATAGTCATGAATGAAATAAGAATGTTAAGAGAAGTATATTCTATATGTTATTGCAATGTCATTGTGTAACATTTCATTAAACTAGTTTTCCTTCCAGATCTCTGGAAGGAACCAGAATTGAATAAAAGCTCCTGGTTTAGATGCAGTACAGATGAAAAAAAAAAAAATTGTTGTAGATCCTGGGAGCTGCTATTGTAACAAATTTCTTTCTTTTAAATTTTCTAGTTTCTAGCGAAGTTATGATTGTAAAAGGTTGGCCTCGCGTTAGATTCTAGAGCTAAAAGTTTTCAACAAGGTCGTTTTAGACCTCAGTTTCAAACTAATTAACTCTGGCGGGAAGTATGTAAGGATCTTAAGTTTTACTAACGTTTATTTTATTTTAAATCTTTACTATCACTTCTTATTTTCTACTTCCGGCCAGAATTATAAGCGTTAAGGATTTTATGCAAAGTTTGTCTGGCGAACGCCAAGTATTTAAGTTGTGGCTTTTTGCCAAGCAAGGGAGAGAGGAAGCAGTGAGTTCGAAGCAGGCCGCTTACCTTAGAAGTTACGCAGTTGCTATTTGCCTTCCAGGCCAGAGGTTTTAATCCTCTTGATAAATTAAACGTATTGTAGTGTTCACAGTCTCTGTGCTACATACGCTTCCTGTTATTATAAGGCCAATCTTACACGTGTATTATTCTAAAGTTAAATTAGAGTTTAGTTTTATTTTGATATCTTTTACGTTAGACCCCGAGTGGAGGGTCATTGTATTCCGAAGTACGGAAGTCATTGTATATAAAGAAAAATAAAGGGTTTTGTATACCCTTCGTCTGTATCCTGTCTACTTACTACAATTAGTGAACATAGCTTTAGTAAGCTCTCTGTTCCTAGTCAGGTCATTGTATGTTTCCGAAGAAGGTTAGAAGAAACATTGAACCTAATACCGTGATCCCCAGGGGGGTTGCGACCCACAGTTTAAGAAACCCTGCCTTACATCATTCAGAGAGGCATCAATAAATGTTTGAAAATCAATGCCCCAAGAAACTGCTGCCAAATCAAGATACTGCCCTCTATCAGTGTCCCTTTCAAGGATGCTGGACAGGTTGCATTACGTTGGTTTCATTTTTCGAACTATTAACAAAGTGACTCATTCCATAGACATCACTCGAACTCATTTCTGAACATTGCACAGCTATACTATTATCTCCTTTATGTGATATTTTCTCTTGTCTAACGTAATTGAGTTATAGTGTACAGCCGAATCAATAGAATATATACAATCTCCAGACAAATAATAATTTCCCATGAACTCTTCTCACACCTGTTTTCTCATTAAAAATACTATTTTCTTCTGTACAAAAGAACTTAAAATTACCAAAAGAAATTAATACCACTAGATAATCAGTATGTTTTATTATTATTATTATTTTAATTGTAGACTTATTAACGATCAATTGATATCACAGGCTGCCTTAATATTTAATCTCAAAGTCAATTTATTTTAAGACAATCTATTTTCATTTTGTTATCTTAGTAAACATGGCTAACAACTTTTAAGATAACATGCATATAGAAGTAATTTTAATAGTAAGATGGCAATATTCATAGAGTAGTTACAGAGAAATATTGTAAAGTATTTCAGCTGGAGATTTGTGCTAAGAATTTTATAGTTCAAGTTTTAAACTAACATTTTAAAGGCAAATAAAAGACAACCAGTTACAAAGCTATAACACAAATAATGAATTCTTCAATTAAAAAAAACATCTTAAGTTGAAGCTTACATTTATAAACACTATTAATATGCTGTTATTTTTATTATAACCCAAAATATACAAATTGTTTATAAATCAGTCAGATTCTATATATGTAATCAATGCTTGTATGAAATAATGATTTTTATTTTGGTGGACAACAGTTTGATACATTACATGGATATGTTAAACAGTTTGACAAATTATTATTCAAGTGATGTAACAAGAACAAGGATTGTTACATCTCATAAAACCTAAGACCTTTTGCTATTATTCATATTGCATTTGGGTCTTTTCGTAAAGAGTTCAAGTGATAATAAAGAACTATTAGTAATAATTGATAATATTACAAGGTTTGTGACAATTTATGCAGTTAAAAATACAAGTATGAAAAATGCTTTAAAGCATTTAAAGGATTTTATTAATGATTTTGTTTTTAGGAAGAATAATAAGTGACAGAAGATCTTGTTTTACTTCTTAATTTAAGCATTATTTCATAGACAATGGAATTCATCACAACTTGAATTCTACAAGATATTAGTGGCAGGGTAGAGTGCATCAACAGAACAATTTTAGGGATGATAATGACAAGCCTGTTGGATAAACAGCAAAGAGAATGGAATGGAGAAAGAGAATGGAAATAAAAGAGACAGAAAGAAATCTGAAAAACATTGTAAATAAAACACCATTTAAAATGTTACATGGATATTTGCTCAGATTTAATGATCATATCCTTAGGAAATTAGCAGGTAAAGATGCAGATATGTGGAATAACCTGTGATAAATCTAAGAACAAGGAGGAAGAATTGAAGAGCAACAACAACAACAACAAAAAATTCGATAGAAAGAGATATTGTACACTAATATTTGAACAATGAAAAATCGTTCTGATGAGATATGCTCCTGCAGGTCAACATATCAAAAAACAGTCAAAATACTGAGGACCATATATGATAATGAAAATACTACCCAGTGATACAGAATAACACAACTAGAAGCTATGGATTGAAGTTGCTGTTTCACTTTTAAAGTTTATGTGATTCAACTAAAACCATGGAGGGAGAGCACAGCTCTGATGATGATGAGGAGGAAGAGGATGAAGAAAAAGACACAGACCAATTACTCAGCTCGATTACTCAATGAAATCCAAGAAGATCTGTTTGTAAGGATTAATGATGATAAATTCTGCTATGATTAAGGTAAGAACTTTCCTTTTTTATGGCTATATGCATATGATTGCTGACAAAATCTCAAAATACTTCACACATTTAAGAACTAGTTATAGAACTTATTTAAATATTTGAAACTGAAAGACTTCCAGCACATTATATTAACACAGAACTTGAGAAGCGCCAGAGAGAAGAGCGCAAATGGATGTAATGGGATATGTTAAGATTCCGAGCATACTGCTGGATATAAATAAGTAAATAATTAGTTCTTATAATAAACTAAAGATAATAAAATATGTCACATTTTTTATGAGTCATACAAAGGAGAACACAGCAGCAGCTAATAAAAGGTTAACATTAAAAGATTTCAATATGAAAAATAATCTGATAGTGATAATAATAAATTAAAAAGAATACAAAGAAACTGAAGTTTGCATATCTCAGCATTTGTAAAGTCTCAGAAAATTCGCTAAAATTCGAGAATATTATTACTGCAGTTTGCACTTGCAACTAACCATGCGTAATATTTCAGATATAAATTTTTAATATAACTTTTATCATTAGAAATACAAAAAATTATGTTTAAAAATATCGCCAGAGTTCTAAAATAAAATAAAATATTCATTTAAAAAATAGATATTGTAACCAATCCTTTAACATAAACTGTTGGACTAACTGTGACAACAAGGCTGCCCTCTGGTGAGTAGCCAGAGAAGTACTTCAGTAAAAGCCAAGCGTCCCACTTGATAGGTTGTAACAGACTCTTGCTCTGTAATTTTCTTAAAGTTAAATATAATGTCCATGTGCAACTTAAACCTATTAATAAATATTTGTTACACTATACAGAACTCTTCTATGACCCTATCTAAAACGACCCCCACACAATATTTAATTTTTCTTCAACTAAGCAAATGGTTTTTTTCACATCAGTGTCAACTTCATACACTTCTCTTGTTCTCTTATTTTTGTTTGGGAGGAATTAATATTAGAGAAGGAAAAGTATTTCTTCTTTAACTTTTGTTAGGCAGCATAAATAAATCTTTAACAAATATTTATGTACAGTATAAATAAACTATATAAATGTAAAACAAATACTAACTCTTGGTTCTGGAAAGCTACAACTCCCAGTTCATGTAAAACAAAAGGGTCCTCAGGTGCAATGGACTGAGCTTGTGTAAAAAACCTTTCAGCCAGCTTGATGTTATTTGATAAGCCATATTCCAAACCAATATACAATAGAGGTAAGTGACAGCTACAAATTAAATATATTATTGAAAATCAAAATTTTACATATTTTTCTTCATTACTAATAACAAACTTTATATACATTAGGAAACATTAAGAATTTATTAACAAAGCAATTTTAAAAAAAAAGGCCTATGAATGGTATGGTGTAAACAAATTTTCTTACTAAAATTAGCAAGTATCTGTGGATATTTAGAAAAAGAGGGATAAAAAGAGTAAAATTAAAACAAAAGATAATCCCTAAAGCTTTAGTTTTTTATAAAAAATAATTTGACATTCAGTCTATGGTTTGGCTCTGCAACATTCAAGAAATCAACATATTTTAACATTTTTTAGCAAGTACTGCAACGATTACCATATTAAATAAATCAAAATTTAAAATATTTAAATACTTTAAAAATAATAATAATGCAACTTATTTTAAATCATTCAAAGATAGTAAAATACATGATAATTCTTTTAGATTATTGTTTAATGACTAATTTCACTTTACAAAATGTTAAAAGAAATTCATTTGCTTACAAAAAAAATATATACAGTCAAAAGTCGTTAATTCGGACACCCATAATCCGGAATGATCTATAATCCGGACCTCAAAGCTAAAAACTTTCTGCGCATGCGCCGCGTTGACACATGCGCATAGGCGTTTACGCGTGCGGATGGCTAAGACCTTTACGCGCATGCAGAATACGTTTTCGCGTGCGCGTTTAACGTATAACGGACGGTATAAGCTAAAATTATACAATTACCTCAGTTAATGTTGATGCTTGCGTTATTCCTTAATCTTCGAATTGGATGCAGCTTATTATTTTTGCAGACTGTAAGAGCAACTTTATAAAAGTAAACTTGAACTTTCGATTATGTCAATTTCCGATTCTGGAGCTCCCAAAGGATCTACAAAACGAAAGTATGTCTCGATGTCCGTCAAACAAAAAGTGGAATTGCTGCAAAAAATGGATAAAGACATGAAGAAGGTGACAGAGAGGTTAGTGAAAACGAAAAAATTTCGATTGACAAGTTAGTCGGTATTCTCGGCACAGCAATTACAGGACTTGAACAGCGGAGCTTTTTAACTGAACAAGAAATTATGTCTGTTTATAGAATTAAAGAGAAAGTATTATCACATAAAACGAAACAACTTACATTGAAAGAAATGTTTAATAAAGTAAACAAATAAATATTAAGCTTCTTTTTTTGTAAATTTTGATACCCTTTAGATCATAATTGTTCTTTATTTCCTAAAAGACGGTTTCATATTTTTAATTTTAGAATTTGTGCATGCCATCTTACGACATTTAAACTGATGATCTATAATCTGGAAAAATCGATAATCCGGAATCGTGGAAGTCCCGACGAGTCCGGATTAACGACTTTTGACTGTATATAAAAATGAAATAAGTTGAAAAAATCTTTACAGTTAAAAATGTATAATTATGTATTATCATATTTAAACAGCACTCTTCGCATTAATGAAAATAATGTTGAATAAATTATAACTTAAAAAATAGCCAAATTCATACCCTTTCATTAACTGTGATGCCCTGCAGTATGCTGCCATGGCCTGATCATGTTCATTTTCAATGGCAAAAGAATGTCCATACATAAGCCAAGCTGGCCCGTACACTCTGTCAATTGTTGTTGCTTTACTGTAATGAAATAAAGGTACATCATCTGTATATATCTGTAAAATGCTAATACAAAATTTTCTAAATTATTAAATTTTTAAAAATTTTTAGAACAGTTGATTTAAAGTGATCACAGTGCTAGCACGAAATTACCATAATTAAAATCGAAAATTAAGATAAATAAATAAAATGTACCAAATTCTGTAAAAAACTATGATTAGTATTGTTCTTTTACTTATTTTTATCTATTTTCATGCATTTCATGCACTTCATTGATATCCCCGCAAAATACCTCCAAATAAACTACTAAATCTAGTTCATAAAAGCAGACAAATAAAGGCATATAATACTGTTCTCCTTTTATTTAGAAAATGAAATTCATATGAAAAAAATTAAAGTAAATCATTTATTATGTAAAAAAGTGCTTACCTTAAATAACGTCTTGCTGCATCTGTTTTCGCTATCTGTAGGTAATAGCACCCAACAGCATACCATGAAACCTTCACAAGATAATAAATTTTTTTAAAAATCAAAGTTATTTCCACAAAAACTTGGTATTTCAAAAAATACATGATGCTTCAAAATGCATACATTCAAAATATACAAAATGCATATGGGACTTCAAAAGCCAGATATCTACGAAATCGAAAAATATAAAGCCGACCTATGTCACCCAAAATCTGTCTACAGATATTGCTATTACTATTTATTAAGACAGCACAAAAATTAGACTCATAACTGCTTTGATTTTCAAACAAGTGTTACACATTGTACATAGCTACCCAACTGATATAGTGGTTAGCGTCGCTGACAGCTGTAACTCCCCAGGTTCGAATCCCAAAGACATGGGAGTGTTTGTAAATGTTTAATGTCCATGTGGGATGAGGGCACTCTAAATATGTGGCAAGCAGAAAGTCTCGAGAGGTTGGTGGTAGGGGAAGACAGATGGGAGACCCTCGGACCCATCCCCCCGCTTCTTGCCACGAGGAATTTCGTGCACTTGGGCTAATTATATGTCAGACAAGTGAGCATTAGTCAACAACAACAACATTATACATAGCCTGATATTAGCTTAGATAATTTAGTTTGCAAGACTTTATTCAGGTATTTTATCTGCTAAGTATGCTGTTGAAAGACAACTACAAAATTATTATAATAATGGAGATATTAATAAAAACATAAAGCTGAATAATTAAGATGTAATTAAGATATTTACATTCCAAAGAAAATAAAAACAGTTTGTGCTTTTGATTTATTTTGATGCTAAATAACTCATCAATAAAAGGTATTATAATTAATATTTCTGATATCATCAGAAATATTAATTTCTGATATCATTCAGGTATTATAATTAATATTTCTGATAGCTTCAAGTTCCATAGAAGAAAGGAAAGCATTCAATTTTATATACATTTTTTTTAAATTACTGTAGACTATAATTAAGAGATAACACATAGTACAGTAACAAAAATACATAAATTACAACAGATTATAACTGCATACATGTACTCGAAAAATTACATTTTCAGAAAAGTCAGTTTAAAGTTTTCTTTAAAACAGTCATAAAAATAATACAAACGCCACTTCTTCCCATATAAAATTTGCTTCTTTACATGACATGCTTCTTCCCTCCCTTTTTTATTAACATCATTATTTTTCTTATTTTTGGATTTTTTAATTGTTTTTTAAATGTTATTAAAAGCAAAGGGCAAAATTATGTCTAAAGTAGTTCGCAAAATTCACATTTCATCCAATTTCTTCTATCCATAGTGTCATATCTAAGATTTACACACAGTTTTAGCAAGTACATCCACCAGACTTTTAAAGCTATCACAGAACATTTATACTAGCTTTAAACAATAACGCTTGAAAATTTACAATTTTTTTTTTTTGGAACAACCTGCTAATAAATATTGTTGAGAAACTCTGGATTCTCCTTCCCAATACATTTGAATAAGTAAGGGAAATCAACATCTTCTATAATAAAAGAAACTGATAATAATAATAATAAAAAAGATTCTTAATGAATTTTTATTAAAAATGATGTATAAAACTAATATAAAAAATCAATACTCACTGCATTTTCTGGGTACAGATCAACTAATTTGTGTGCCAAGTAAAAAAGAGCTGGAAAAAAAAGTGGCATTAAAGGATTTCTTCACTATGTCATAATTAAATTCACACAAGCAAACGAACCTACACATTTTCCCTCTAATTATCTGATAATCTAAGGTGATCTGCTTATAAAAACAATTCACAAGAAAAATTTTCATACATTTTTGTTCTTAAAATACTATGTAACATTGTTATATTACCAGACAAAAATACTTCAAAGGTCGGTAATAATTTAAATGATTTTCTTCTGCGGCAAGATTAATTGAAAATTCAGCTCTAAGACGACAGAACAAAGATAATTTATAAGATAACAAAGAGGAATTATATATTACAGATCTTCAATTATTTGAATTTTGATAAATTGAACTGAGTGCTACTTTGGTAGACGGTTGCATGGATTTTTGGCAATTTACATTGGTGCAGTTTTTACAATCGTCAGCCATCTTGAAAAACGCTGTTTTTACACATAGTAAAGTATTCGAAACTTTAAAAAAAGTAAATATCGTTAAAAGTAATGGATTAATTTTTTGTTGAAAATGTTGTTTTTTAAGATGGCAGGCAGGTGTAAATAAATATATTTACTATGAGTATAAAATACTAAAGTAAGATTATTATTACTTTCATATAGCAAAGAAAAAGAATAAAAACACAGTTTTAAAACATTATGCCAACGTTTTAATTAGATTAAAATATTACTTAAATTGAATATCGAATTAAAAACATTATACCAACATTTAAAAGATTTAAAATATTACTAACTTCAAATACTTTAAAATATGTTATATAGAATATAATTAACAATAAAACATATGTGACAATAATTATTTCAGGAATTTTTGAAAATAGAGTATTAATTTTTTTTAACAAAAATTGAAGTATACAATTATAAAATAAAAGAAAAATATGTACTTACATTTTTTTTTAGTCATTCAACCTGTCGTTTATTGATAAGTACCACCAAAAATCAGAATCATAATTTAGATATCAATGAAAAAAATTTGAAAAATGTAATATCAAGGGCAGGGCAGAAATAAAAAAATTTTAAAAAACCAAAAAAATTTATAAATAGATAAAACAATTTAGAGCCAAATAAATGAATCATAAAGATTAAAAATAACAAAAAAATTGGAAAAAAAAAAAAAAAAAACTCCAATAATAGGTATTGTTTTTAAGATTTCAAAGATTCTTTAACCGTCCCTCCCTGAAGTACAAAGGACAATTTTTTTATTCTGATACCAATAATTCTTGCTACTTATCAATAACAAACATTCATCTTTGAAGGAATTTGAAGATATGAATTAAATTTTAAAATGGCATGGTAATGCACAAATTTTCAGTAACCAATCAGAGAGCTGATTACAGCTCGTTAATGCACAAATATTCTATAACCAATCAGAGAGCTGATTACATCACGCCTAGAATTAAAATTATTTAAATAATCATACATAATAAAATCATTTTTCTAAATTGTATTTTAATATTTGACAGCCATAAATAATGTTTAGAACATTAGATTAAATTTATACATATTAAAACCAATTATTTTAAAGAAGGTGACGTCATTAATTACATCATCCACAAAAAATTTCATAAAATATCATAAACAATAAAATTTTTATTTCAAATAAGAAGGCAAAATTAAATTGATTTTTAATATTTAGAAGCCATAAATAATATTTAAAACACGGAATTTATGCTTTAATAAAACGCATTATTTTTTAAATAAAATTACAACAAAGTATCGGTTACCATAAATAACATATCCAGCAATGGGTTTACCATAAGTCTTATTACTTGCTAAAATCCGTGCAACCGTATACCAAAGTAGCACCCTGAACTGAATGTCACCCTCCTCCAAACTAAAGGAACTAAAAATTAATAGTATTGCATTCGATAGGTAATAATATTCATCAGCAAATCCAAAAGTTTATCAGATGGTGTCAATATTATTTTTATTGTATTTTTTCCCCTGATAAGCCAGAATCTTGATACTATCCACAAATCATTGATGCCATATCAAGTTTTAAGCTTTGCAAAATCTTTACATTCAAAACATTGTTTTCTGGGTCATTTATTTTTTTCCACAAGCAGCTGCTTTATTACAGTTGTAAGTATTTAAAAAAATTATAACTGATTTTAGAAATGTAATCTATGTTTTTTCTAGGAATAAAATAAAACATAGCTATTTGACATTTCACTTTTCACTCTAAATTAAAAAAAGGAAAAAAAAAAAAAAAAAAAAAAACAGTTTTATTTATTTTAAAGCTATGTTTTTAAAACATTGCTTTTGATACTGTTTAATGTTTCATAAAATATACCTGTTATTGCAAGAAAAATAATTTAATAAAGGAAGCATTTCTTTAATGTTTATTGTCCTTTTCAAGTGGATCTATATCATCCATTTGTCCTTCAGAAACATGATATTTGTTACAGTTTCTTTTTATTTTAAAACATTATATAAATATGTAATAAAATAAATTGAGTTTCTTGATCTTATTTTTCAGTTTCTTTTTTGACATCAAAGTAATTATTGTAATATGTATGTAGTAATTTCTATTTTGCCTTGTTATGTATATTGATTTGCATTTTTACAAGAATTTTAGCTATTTTTTAAGCATAATTTGCCATATTATTTTTAATTACTAGAATTTTTTTTTGGTTGCCTTAATTTCTGAATTATCAAAGTTTGATTGTAAAAGTAAAACTTGGCTCTTCAATAATAAAGTACATAAGCAAAATATAAATGCAGATTGCATTAAATCAGATATCGTAGTTTGTGAGTTTTGCTTTCATTGTGATAAGAACATCCACAATTTCAGATAGATACTTTTGTTCTTATATTTACACAAATTAAAGAATTTTTAATCTTATTTTGAAATTTTACAGAGCATGTTTTATTAACTTAACCTAACAGAAAATAATGGAAAAGTCAACATGAAATATATTAAGCTGATCCAGAAAGTAAGCATCATTTGTTCATATCCCTTGTGCATCTGATAGCACGAAGGTTGTGCATGCATAGTTACATAGTTCAACTCGAGAACGAATTAGCCTAGCAATTTTGTTTGCTTTTTGAAGTTACTGTAATCATGCTTAAAGCAATCAATCAGTCCACCAGCTGTGAAATAAGAGCCATTATAAATTTTTTTAATGGGACAACCGTTCGACCTAATGAAATTTATCATTCAATAAGTGAAACTTACACAGAAAAAGCAATGAGTGAAGTTATGGTGTGAAAGTGGGTTAGGATGTCAAACAAAGGAAGAATGCCCATGATGAGGAGCACAATGGATGCCCATCAATGATCACTGAAAAATTGGTGCACTGCATTAACGAATAGGTTCGTTAAAATAGGCAATTCATGATTTCGGATTTGTCAATGCATTTTCAGAACATTTCACATTATTTATTATATAAAATTGTGACTGAACATTTGCATTAAGCAAACTGGGTACTTTTCCGTTTCGCTGGCACAAATCTCGCCAAGCAGACTTTATTGGTTACAACATACAGTATACATATAAAAAATGTTAGTTCTAAGAATTTTATTTTGAAGACATAAACATTTTAATATCGTTTAAAATTTTGTAAAAAGCCAATAAATAAAGACAATAAATTTGTAAAAAGACATTAATTTAAGAATTTAATATGCTTTCATGGTTCAACGTCCTGATTTGCCAGTTCATATCAATTGACCCCAAGTGATCTCATCTCACATAAACTACGCAACAAAAATCCAATTCTCTCTTAGTAATCATCTGCATTAATTTCAAGTTAAATCTTAATTTGGAATGCAAGTTTAAATGCAAGAATTATTTCAATTTGTACGAATAGCTTACTCAGAAATTATGTAAAACCACAGTGCTTTACTTTGCTAGTGCATTCTCATTAGAACTGATGAATTCGACTTTGCCTTTGCTACATTTTCGCCTTCGGGTGAGTGGTGTGATTGCATCCTATTTGACTTTTTCCCGTGGGCTAAAAAAAAGTTGTGTACTGGGGGCTCTTGGCTCAGCGGTTATGGAAAGGGGGGAAAATTATCGAATCAAGTCTTGATGGCTAGATGATTAGTGCTCTTTTGTCGGGCAAGCAGGGAAACGGTCGGATTTCCTTTCAATCCAGTTCCAATGCTCTTGGTGTTAGAATGTGGGATGCACTCTAATCACTTTCACACAGCAGGTATATGAATGGAGTTTCCCCAAGGGGGAAAAATATTATTTTATCTTCAGATAAAATTTATGTTACAATTAGAAAATTTTGTTCTAAAAAGTGTTCTATTTTATGATTAAAATAGTTTTTTAAACTTGTACATAGATTATGTACTAAAAAATAAGCGAAGCAATCGAAGTTAAATATATTCACTTGTCATCTTATTGAAAATTCAGCGAGTTAGAATATTCAAACATTTCCTGCAAACAATATATAAATTTTCATTTTTAATAGTATTATTATTCTGATGTTGAAGAGCAAATTAAATAGAGTTTATTTACTACAAAGAAACTAAAAACTTTATTAAAAAGCATTTCTGGATTCCAAAATGAGTGTTATTACTTTTACACCTCTGGTAATAGAAATTGGTCACTGCATTTGTACTGCACAAAAAATTTACGATGCATGATCCAAGAAATTTTTTATTTATTTTTCTTCCATGGGACGTTGCAAATAGCGGTCCCACAGTTGATCTGCCTTTACATCAGGCATATAAGATGTTTAATTTTTTTTAACCGCTTCATAGTTTTGGGTTCAAGAAAGAAATGCATATGCAAACCCTGGAGCTTGAGAAAATAAAATCTTTGTTGAGTTTTAATGTATTCAGTAACAAAAATTTAGTTTTTTTCACTTAGCGATATAAGATATTACTTTGTATGATAGTTGTTTGATGATTCATATTGCTACACAATTTTTTCTTTGAATGCAAAATTGCATGCACAGGAACGCATTGATATTTCAGAAAATAAACATCTTTGTCGAATAGTGAAATATTTCTTCAGTTTTTTATGATCTACATTTTC